CAGACTGATCGTCCAAGACAAATACCTCGTCCATATAGCAGTGGTAACGTTCGAAGACCGTGATCTCCGCATGTAGCGTGGTATTCTCTAATTTCGCCAGGATGAGAGCAGCTAACAACGGACACAATTGCCATCCCATAGCTACACCATTCTTTTGTCGATAGTAAGTGCCATTGTATAGGAACTGTTCGTTCAAATTGCAACGCATAAGGAAGCTTTTAAAGTCAAGCAACGGTACGCACATCCTTGTTTGTGTTTATCCTATATAGGAGCAAAGGTGCATCCGTAGCGTTAATTACATCGGTCCAACGTCACGGGAACTGCGGAAGCGCAGTAAGGAGCACCTACCACGCGGGTTGCGTCGAGACGGTACTGGGACTATAACTAACACTGTTATGGCTCATCTTATTGATAGTGGGCATGAGCTTGACTCTATCCGTGCATTTCGGATACTATCAGCTTCCCTCCTCTCCAGTAGAACGCCCTGCGTCTCCGCACCCCTGCTACTGCCTAGGCGATCAGCATTCGGTTGTATCTACCGATTTCTTGTGCACAAATGAAGCTGTTTGTAGCTGTTAAGTTACCTTGACAAAAAGGATCCTTCTGAGGGCAACTGTAATTGTGCAACTACACCTTTTTCCTAGTTTTTGGTTTGTTGCTGACTCATACTCTTGGTCGGCACGTGATGGAATCACATTTGAACTGATCGGATTTACTTTTACGTCCATTGCTATTTCACCCATATGATTGTACGGATTTCAGGAGGAATCAGCGAAGTCAACTGTTTATTTTCGGTCCATTGTGCTTGAATATTAAATGAGATGACCAAATACGCTACTAACCTTTCCACCTCTCCATCCCATTTATATCCAACAAACACATTTTATTGATTAGAAAATAATTGCACCAGTATAGAATGCAATCAAGTTGAGGGCTATTAACTCAAGCTTAGATACAGAGCAAATGCATTTATTTATTACGGAACGTACTTAAAGTAACCCCAAATCGGCAAGCATTTTATTATACGCTTGCACGTAACTTCTTAGGGTAATCTGAGATGTTATTGCTTGCTGGGCATTCTGCGACAATATCTTCCTATTGCAATCTCTAATATTCCTTGGTTGGAAAAAGCAGGCAGGATGGGTTGTTGTTTCCTATTAGGCTTGGCGCGCAAATGAAACAACTGGGCTCTATAATTGAAGTTGTGTACTGTTGTACGCCTACTTGCTATTAGGACAAACGACAAAGGATACACGTATTGGTACCCTTGTGTTCTTGTGCAAGCCAAAGAAAATCGAGGTGCGCGATCGTACAAGGGTCTGTTTGAGTGAAAGCAGTACCATGCCCATGTGAATTTGATTGTCCTACATGAACGCCATCCACATAGAATGTAGGGTACGAAAATAGTTAACTTGTTCTTTTAACTTGTTTTATCATGACAGCGCGCAAATTTTTGAATTCAGGCTCTCAGTTACATCTGTGCACATAGTTTATTCCGTAATCCTTGTGACCGCAGCTAAGCACATTCTACCGTTTGCAAGGTCATTGGCTTGGGTGCCAATCTGTGCGTCTACATAAAACGACGAAAAGATTCGAATCTGTACATGTGACCAAAGCACAGTGGCAACAATTATACCTAATAAACTTCAGAAGGAAGCTGACACGTAGTGTCAGAACTCGATATCAGGTGTCGCTTTTAGTGCATTTGTCGGGTATTGATGTACGTTTCCTGAATATTGCTTGACAAGGCTAGTAGTTAATTTGCTACGTCTACGCAGCAGGATTCTGTAGTTAGTGGATTTGTGTGATCTGATGTATGGAGGGACCGATAATTCATTCTGCTGTTAGGATGTGTTATGAACGCAAAGCTGCACTGTTTCCCGTGAGTATGAAAATCTAACTTGATTAAGGTATGACCGTAAGAAAAGCTTATCGCAATTAGCTAGAAAGTTAAACATAACGCTTACTTTATCCTTTGAAAGTTGTTCGGTACTTAGATTAGTTTGGGTATGTAAGCGCTGGAGAAGTAAGTTGCAGTTACCACATGATTTGTAAAGCAACATTTTTACATCGTTGCTTTTTTTGCATAAGCGTACTTTTACTGCAGACTTCAGGAGTTGTGGGTAGTTCAGTTTTGATGACTTAGCTTAATAGGATTGCAACTCTGTTCCAGAAATGCATCCAATGGATCCATGGTTGAAGTATTGAAATGACGCATTTCTGAAGTATATTAATAAACTACACAGAACCACGAATCGCTGTCTAAAACTGTACTAATCTCTTCTGGAACATCATTAAAGCAGTTCACAGTAAGCGAATTTGTATGCCATTAAGCTAATAAAGCCAACATGATCCACTATCTGGTATTAACACACAGAGATAAGGCTGTAGGTTCCATGACAAAGCGTGTCACGTATCCTACTTCCATGTGAACTTGCTTACATCAGCTTTAACGCTGATAGCATGTTTAGTAGTCCCGTACAAACATTTGAGTGTTGGAGATAAATATTCTGTATATCTATCCTATTTTAATTTATTTATCTAAGTAACATGATTTACTTACTCTGTTCATTATTTTGTTAACTTCACGATTGTAACTAATCAAAACACAAGTTCCAAGAAAAAAGCACCCCTTTGAATTGTTTTGACTAAGGTAGTGTTTCCACATACATGGAGATGAAAAGTAGTGCAAACAGTAACGTGTAACATGGCACCAAGTCCAGTATCATAACTAATCCAAATTGAACGGTTAGGCGAAAAATGGTTGAAGTTAACTGTTACCTTCGAATACATATGCAAATTAAGCACATTGTCGTATGACAGTAAAATAGTAGTTAATGTGCATGTGGACCGTAATAATGTACTCGCGTTGCATTGCAAACGAAATACCTGAGAGATGAATTCGATACCTATCCATATTTGAATTTGAACTGATGTTGTATAGTTTGGTGATACGCGATCTTTGGCTGCAAAACATGTCGTCCAGCTGAATTCGACACCGCATGTATCTGCCAAATGCCCAGATAATCAATTCAAACATAGTGAAGGGTTTCGCTGTGGCTCTCCTATTCCTGCAGCCTAAGTTTCACGGGCCTTACAAACTTCGAACTTTTTGGTTACCTTGTCGAGCGTGAATATAGTTCCAAGTTATGGTTAGTTGGTCCAACTGAGGGTGTTAATATCAGATCGTCAAAGTTGGGCTTAATCATAGTCAAAAACATGGACAAACAGTGGTTTATCATCTATGTGTTTGCGAGATTCTGCAGCATTTTGCTTCCTTTGCTAGTTCCGGAGGTTGTGCTTGCTAGCTTTACGCAGTTAGCTATATGCTTGTTCTGACTATGTTGTTTCAAGTTGGGCAAAAGTTTAGGCAACAGAAAGTGTTTTCTGTAGCTGGTTTCGATAAGACGGATTTACCAGCTGTAAGACACTACATAGTCTCACTCAATTTGTCAACATCCAGTGGCAACACGGCGATGCATTTTTCGAGTGGTTTGATCCTAATCGCAGTACATAACTAAGCAGAATACGGCCTGCAGTCGTTCTTTCACTTTCGCTGCACTTAACGTTACGCACTTGAGATGAAATTTCATACTACAGTTAGTACATAGAATAGTCATGGAGCATGATGTGGTATTGCGAAGTACTTTTGCTTTGGCTTAGTAGACCTTGTGCACGCTGTTTTCCCCGTTGGTTTGTTGCGGAAAGTGCCAAAGCATCAGTCACATCTGTAAATTGCAAGCTTCAAGCCTGTTGGGAATGGATCACGATGTCTTTTGACTTGATTTGTTAATGTCCTACTAGTAGGACCACACTCGTAAACCAAGCCAGCGGAGGTTATCATACGAGTTTTCTGTTGTGCACAGTGGGCGATTGATTATCGGGCAGCTCGGGCTTCGGTTTGGTGTAATGCTGAGCTTTTATCAGGTGGTAGAATGTACGCTGGTTTGGCGGGTTTTATGACTAGGACAGCAGCTAGCAAACGTAGGGTTGTCTTCATGTGGTAAAGAATCGCAGGAAACCTTTACGAACACTCAGTGGAGTGATAGTAAAAATGATGATATGCACTAGTAAATATGGTTGATTTGCACCTATATCTCTGTAAAAGTCCCGCTGAAATTCCAGTAACGGATGCAATCATTGTATGTGGTAAACAATCAAACGCTGGAAAAAGAGATTTGGATAAGTGTAGACATGGTAATGTAGTAAATCCAAACACAAAGCAGCGCCGGTTACGTACGACTACACGGAACGTCTCCCAAGAAGAGAGATGCAACTCAGATACTAAGTGAATATTGGTAAGATACAGCTTTACCAGCATGAGGAACAATGACGCCGTGGAAATTTAGTTATAGAAAATAAACTCATGAAATAAATTTCACGCCGGCTTTTTCTAGAAATAGCAGTGGGCTACTAGAAAGATATCCAGTGTTTATCGTCCGATCCCTAAAAACAATTAATAAACTAATAATACTGTCTAACCGTATATTTCAAAGAGCAACTTAAAGCATTTATAGTAAACAGTTTGCCTTGAAATCAACATGATTACAGCATACATTGAAATTTGGTAGTCTGTAACATTGCTAATATTTTTTTGAATTAAGACAACCAGGATACCTAGCTAGACCCATGCGTATAAATAATGATATAATCTTGAAATGTCAACGAGTTTCACCACACACTTGCTACACTATTTTTAACGCCGTAAGCCTCCTGTGCAAACATAAAGTAAACAACAGCATGGACCAGTTGCTATTTACGTTATACTACGTAGCAGCCGCGAGACTTGTTGCTGGAACCTTGCCCCTACAGTGCTTCGGATGGGGTATTTTCGGTGGCAAAATATGTCAACATGACCCAAGTCCTAATAATATTTTGTTAAGACAAACTAATGACAGCTCCTTCTGCTTATTACTTTACATTAACACTTAGAACATGGCTATTGTTCAAAATCCTTTAAATAATACCAGGCCGTTAATTTAAACAGCACGTTAGAACACTAATGAGTAGAAAGTTTATTTGTTGGGCCAATAAACAGCGAAAAATAAATGTGCTGAAATTAAGGAAAATGAGGTCTTGCTTCTTGCACACGATTTACATAGAATGAATGTTACGGATAAAGAACAGAAGCAAATTTCGTAAGTCAGGAGAGCCAAAAGATGTTTACGATGCAATCATTTTGGTTCGTTTTAGACATCAAGTACTAATTTCCTCTTAGTTTTCATTTGATGCATTGCATTCAGTCTTCCGCGACATAGAGGCATATCCCGCAAACAACGGTTATAACACATGTCCACACTCCGGATAACCCCCATGCTCCGTACGCCGGCTTAGCTGGTGCATACGCACATGCAGTTGCGATACATAGGAAGCAAACTGAAACAAAGAATCAACAAGGAATTTCCCGTTAATTAGTCAACAGATATTCTGGAAATTAAATTGCGACATTTGATTAGATAAAACATAATCCTGTCTTACTATAACGATGAAAGGGACGCCCCAACAATGTAAAAAGTTTGCCTTTATAACTCAGTTCACATAAAAAGGATGAACTAACTGTTATGAAATAAGCAAATTAGTACTTTCGTACTGATTCCAAGCTAACACAAGTGTCGTATGGTGTAGAGTCAGTCCATGTATAGTGAACAAAGGTATTTTAGGAACAGTGCAACAAATCTAGGACTTTCAGACTCTTAGCTGAATTAAGTAGCCTTGAGGCAGAATCTTAACTTTTCCAACATAAATCAATACGCGTTATAAGCGTAAACTGTGGTTTGTTTTAAAACTTACTAAAAATATCATCATATAAGCTTAATTAGTCCATTGCTTCAATTATTCTCAGAATACTGATCAACTTATTCCACTCACAAAGATTGCCCGACATTTAAATAAGGAACCGTTAAGCGACGCAACAACGTAGAATTATGTACTCATGCAACGCACGAGTTTGGCTCTGATGAACAAAATATCTCGCTACAATGCTAGGACAAGGAAGTCAGATTTCAAAGTTTTTACCTTGCTTTATAATTTTTTCTATACCTGAGTTTCGGATGCAAAATACTAGGGCACAACGCCCTAAACACTTAATGCAATTTAGGGCTACAAACCTCCTTTTAAGATTCACATTCTAAGCAGCAGTTCTAAGCCGTTAAGTTTGGGATATGGATAAGCGATTATACAAAAATATCAGGCCAATACGTAAAACTCACATGCGAGCACACAGAGAATAAGGATCACTAGCATGAATGCGCGGTATTTGTCCGAGCACGCGAAGAACAAAATGATGAACATTACGGCCGCTACGAATAGTACTATGAGAGTCATCGCAGCGAACGCAATAGCCGTCCGCTCCTGGTCAGTGGAAGCTGTAAGGGGAAAATGAATATGTGATTGGCAGCAGGAACAGATCAGTTGCTGTGTGTGTACCGGTATTTTCATAGCATCTACAAGAAAAATCGCGCTACTCCTAAACTAAGAAATACGAAGTATAGTAATTAATCGATAGTATTGGTCATGTTAAGCCAAATCACCTCGACACAAAGCATTTGTACCTGAATCCGTGCATTCTAATTGTAAATGAACTTGAAGACCGTATCAGACACAACAAGTAACATAGGGCCAAAAGTTTATATAAGCGCAATTCCCAATAGGACTTCAGTTTGAGTACATACCAAGGAACGTATTTAGTCCAACAAACTAATGAGACAAGCAAGCTACGACTAAATTTGATGTGATGAGTCTCGAGAAAAGGATGTTTTCTATTTAGCATACGTATAACTGAAAGGTCTAGTTTTGTGTAAGATTTTTGTACTAAACGAAAGAAATCGTCTGGTTATACAGAAGAAAGAGGTTTAATATTGACTGGGTCAGAGAAGCACCGGTATATAAGATTGCACATAAATAAAAGTGCAGTATATACCAACCTTTATGCGTACATTCTTATGGAAATTTTAGGGATAAGACTTAAATAATTGATGCATCATTTCATGAAATTAAATACTTAACAAGTCAGTACTAGAGGAACTTGAGGTTTGAAAGCCTTATGAATTATTCTTTTTGCAGTTACTTTGCATGAACAACGTTTTCATCAGCTGCCGCAATATTTTTGGCTGAGATTAGGGAACATAAATAACGAAGTACAAAATCCGGTCATCACAGTAACTTTTAATCCCTTTTTTACGTTAGCTTAATCCTGTTTGTGCAAACTGGAGATTTGATATTATTGCCTTTAGCAATAACCAAGAAAAACAATAAACTACTAAAATAGTACCAAAATTTTAAGGATTCCACTAGCTAGAAAGCATATTGCTGAGGTGTACATTTTATACGAGGTCCCTTTTAGATAGGAATGTACGATTTTTTCATTGTGACTGAACGTAACTTTTGATTAGAAAAGAAATTTCTCGCTCTTGATGCGACCATTAGCAATAATCAAAGTTTATGTTAATAGGTGATATCACCGTACATTTATGATTCCATTACTCTAGTCATTCCGATTTTTGATGAAGGATGCCTTGTCACTGCTCTTAAATGATCTAAGGCCGTTACTACTTATCGACCAAATAATTATTCTTGGGGTTCGCAACAGGAGTGCTAAGCTACGAATGAAAACACTACAAATTGCATAATTAGAACTTGTATAATACTTATGTTATGGTTTTTGACTTTGAAGAGAGGACCTGAATTGTACACATCTGTCGAAATTTTATTACCACTATGTTTTCCAATGCCGAAGGCGAACTAATTGATTTCACTTACAAAATTATTCGAAAAATGAGGAAAAACGTGCGATAACTTGGATATACCGGCTCGGTTTGCTAGGCTTTCTGAGCACTTCATAACCTGGATAAAGATGAAAGCAAAACTAGGATACAACATCGCTTGCAACACACCTAACATTTAAAGAAGGAACTTACATCGGCTTGATCCCCGAACCCCAAGGAAAACAATCGACATGAGTAAAGTGATAACCACGGATATAATGAAGACTATTCGCAAACCCCGAGCCATGGTTTTGCTTCGGCAGCTCCCGTAGTGGCCCCGTAAGAAGTGAGCGACGAAGTGCTACGACTGACTAAAACGACAGGGTAAACTACTACAACACAGCTGTGAATATGACTGAACCAATCACTTCTTTCAGTGCTCATTAGTGGTTCACCGAATTCAGTTAGTAGCCTGTGATAAGTGCAACTCATCTGTGTGCTAAACCCACTCTGAGGACATCCATGAACACCTACGCTGCATTTGTGTCCAGTTGCGCCACTAACATTCCTTACGAGTAGAAGACTGCAATATGCCGACAGTTGCAATCTCCACATTACTTCTACTGTGTCACGGATACACACAGATCTGTAGCGAAAGTGCTATTTAAATGGTTGCATCGAGCACTCTGGTATCGGCAAAAGTAGAGTAGCTAATTCCCACCCTTATTAAACGTTCATTCCATATATACGTGGATTATCAACGTAGCCAAATTGTCATATCGTTGCCGCACATTTATATATAGCCTATTGAATACTTGCCATTGACAACTTACTTGATATTATACTCAGATGCGTTTCTCAGCTGGACATGAACGAATATGCCAGTAAAAAATTGCTGAAACGATCGCGTGATTATTCTTGATTGCTGAGGAAAAGCATGCGTTAGATGACTGATTAGCTTGATTTATTATATATATATATGTATATATTATGCTGGATTTCTATATATTGTGCGACACATATGGTACAACATATCCACATAGGGAAGCAAATTGTCAGCATATAACAATATTTCATCAGTAGTGTCTGGAGTTTGCGATTATTTAAACCAATGCAAGATAATCTGCAATTAAGGATAATTGTAAGTATCGTCTTCAGTTTAAGTAAAGTAATATAACCATTTATGGAACTGTCCTCTAGGGTCCTGCTTCCATGCGGGGTAGTCCCTTGAAAGGTTTCATGCGCAAATTCACGTTTCATCTGGCTTTGTGCTGTTAGGCTTTAAACCAGATTAGTCTCACCAGTTGGACTCGTTTAATTGATTTTTTATTATTTTAATGTTTTTTTGCCTGTAAATATATGCAAAGGCTCTCGTCACATTGTCGCATTTTTGACTACTATTACAAACAAATAGACGACCAATAAGTTGACTATTTTGCCTTTGTCGTTACTAATGATGATGTCCTCATGTTTACTCAGGATTTTTTTGACGCTGTATCTCTTTTGGCAATCTCGACGCTGTAGATTCTCTCAAGCAGCGATTTCAAGTCCAGCGTTTTTAAAGTGCGCCAGTAATTATTTGGCCATACGCCTTGCGGGGGTGCACTAGATAGTTAAGTAGCTTCAGTCTGTCACCACAGAAGGTCAGCCCAGTAGTGACAACAATGCTTTAGAAGCAAAGCAAACAGAAAAGTAACTAGTGCTGGGAAAAAAGTACAGTAATTATAAAGGAGCGAAGGATGGTTGTTCAATTTAAGTTGTATATAGGGATCATAGCAAACAAATAAACATCCTCAATATTCATTTAACTAAGAATTCTCAGAGGAATAGTGCGATTGCTTCGATAGTAGATTATCGAACAATATTAATTGGCTGCCCAAGTTCCTTTATGTTTTCTGTGACGAGCACTGCGAATATCCAAGAAGAATAGAGGATAGTTTGTAAAGGAAGATAGGTGAGAAACTTTAGGATACTAAAATTGCAAGGGTTATTCCTATTTCGACTATCGTCATAGGAGTGCTGCAGTGGCGAACAGGAGAGCGTGAACCACAAACAGCAAGCTTGGGTCCAGCGGATGGACTAATACATTGATCCATATTTTAAACATTCCTTGATGCTTGATTCATATTATTGCAATGGGAATCTTTGCTTTGCTGAAGATCAGCACTGCCCGTGATTCATTAAAACAAAGCTCCTCGGTCGCTGTCTGTCGAGTAGACCGTTTAGCCATATTCGTTAATATTAGGAATTGACCGATAGTCGGGCTAGCTCTAATTGATTGCGGCAGTCGGATCCAGATATTTACGTATAGAACTACGAAGAAGTTGGCGCGAAGTTGCAACTCGCAATTCGTTGGGGAGACTAAAATATAGGTTCCTTAAGTTGTAATCATTAACCACCCTAGACTTCAACTGTGTGCTGGTCCTGAAGCTAAGATTGTGTGTCAACTCGCAATAGAAACTAAGTTCAGCATCAGGCTTCGTTAGCATGGAGCGTCGATGCTGAGTAATTTACATCTATTTTGATATATTGCTAGTGACGATTCACACAGAAGGTTTTTAGTGAATGACCGCTGCAGACGTCACTGTGATAAGAGATCATTGTTGCCCATGTGACTCTAAATGATCAGCCAGTACTTCAAATTGGGCGCACAAATCAAATAAGAAATTGCTGGGCTTTTTGTAAGATTAATGAGTTGTTTAAGATTAAAGCGAGTCTCGCCTTTGATAACCCTTTTGGACCATGAGTTGAAAGTCTAGTGTTTCATGGTAGCTTAAGCCTAGATGACGGAAGGGCTGAATGATATAGATTAGTTCCCCAGTTAAAGTTTAAGATCCTGGTGAGATGCTACATCTACGACAGAGTACGGGGCACATGTGACCGGAAAATGTAATTAACTATTTAGTTGACCAGTGTTAAAAAACAACAGACCCGTTTGAATAATTTGGATGCTTTCCTCAGATTTTCTGGATGACTGTTGTAGACGATTTTCATGTAATCCGCAACTAGAGAAGATTTACTATGTTTGATTTTATCAGAAGAAGTATTTATAAATATGAAAAACAGAGTGGGATCAAGTACGTTACCTTGCTGTTCTCCAATCGTTATTGCGTCTGGTTCTGATTACCGTTTATTTAGTAAAGCAGTTTGAGTGCGACCCTCTTAGATGGAAGTGAACCAAGCCAGGAATGAGTCACGGACTCCGAATGATCTAACGTTCAACAAAAATAGCTTAGACGGAACATAAACCAAGGCTTTGTAGACATGAAGGATACTGGCCGGTACCGACAATTTTGCATTTACATCCAATGTAATGTAATCTAGAAAGTCTAACTAGCAAGTGTTACATTAGCGTTAATTTATAAATCCATGTTGTTGATCACTCAAGAGTCTGTATGTCATAAGATAGTCAGCGAGATACTTGTTGATTACTCTTTCAAATACTATACAGATGATGGAAGTGTGAGTAATGGGGCGACAGTTACTCACTTCGTCTCATGTAACACATTTTTGTTGTGGAATGATGATAAAAGGTTTCCATGGGGTGAAAAATAGCTGTATGTTAAAAAAGGCTGAGCATTTTAAAAAGTAATATGAGAATGGCTTCGCCGCCAAGCGTGAGTAAAATTGGGGGAATGCCATCCGGCCCCGCCATGTAACCAGTCGAACTGACTTTAGGGCGGATTTAATCTCCGAGTTATTTATACTTATCTCCGACAGTATGCGATCAGGGTAATTCATATGGTTGATATCTACAAGCGCGTGCTCATTAATAAGTATGGAAGCATAATATTCACTGAACGCCTCACACATGCCAAGTGCGTCCGTCAAATGTATGTCCTTGTGCCGGATTGAGATGGGGCTTCGGTAGGTACGTCTAGGATTACTTGATTGTAGCAGTTGTGTGAGCGCGGGTGTCTTTCGACAATTGGAAATTGCCAGATGTTCTTCAGTTGAATGTCACAGCCTACTTTCCGCAGCAATCTTATTTTAAAGACTATTTATACGTATGATGATGGAGAAATCACTAGTCTTGCTTTACCTAACTTGAAGTTTGCGTAGCTTGCGACATACTCTTGGTGAAAAACGGAAGGTAGTTCTATTTGCCGGAACTATGCTTCATTTCAGTGGCGCAAGGATATCTAAACATGACAGGGACTCTTTGAAATTGCTGGTCAAGAATATATTATCTAAGTTGAGAGACCATAGGTCTGGGGAACTGAGACCAATAGACAGATCGGATAGGATGCGATAATATTGTAGAGTTAACATGGTCCCAAGTAGAGGTTATACAACGCTTTACAATGTTATGATCACTTTTCGGGAATTTACACATGACAGTTACCTTAACACAAAGAGGTTAAAAGTGAATAGTAGGTCCAGGCTGTTGTTCCTATGTGTGGCGGGGGTAACATGTTGTGCCCAACCTGTTATGTCGATACTTACTAATAAGTCTGCGTATTTTTGAGGACCGGAGAGTGAAGCCCACGACAATTCTGGCGTGTTGGATTTGCCAGCAATAACCTTCACTGTGGAGTAATGTGTTCCTGCGAATTGGAAGGCCTTCATAAGTTTAACAGGTGTGGAGTCGTTGCAAGGTTATAGACGCAGCCTACCAATAAGTCTAGATTATTAAAGGATGTGCTTACTCAAACGGAGTCATTAACTAACCACGTATAAAGGTCAGTCTATTCTTCCACCTAACGATCTTGTCAAACGTATATAGAACAGCCCATACCTATACCCTTTAGACGACTTTTGCGAATTAGTTTATAGCAGGAAAGTCGAGTAAGCGTATTTGGTGTTTCGTCATTACTCTAAGTTTCAGTTATGAGCAGCAGGTGAGCGTAAACAAGTGCAACAATTGGTTGCAGCATGTACGATTTGTTAAGAAGTGAACGAGCCTTGCTAAGAAAGACTACCAGATCATTTCGGGGTTTCGGTTTTTCGGATATTTTCCTGAGTAGTTACTGTAATTCACACTGAACCGCTGGTGTGGGTGAATATAATTGCACTAGCTGGAGGCTAGAGTTGCTCTTAGCTGGCCCATCTACTTCAGGAACACTCGAAACAGTTGGGTTGTCCCGCCGAAAAGTTTTTGGCCGTAGTGGTGTTCGCGACCGAATAACATAAAAATGATTGTGCTTAGCCGAGTGTACCCTTTTTCAACTCTCAAAGTTAGTGGTATAAAAACCTGGAGGTAGAATTTTGTTTGCGCATAACGGAAGCTTTGCGACAGGCACTGCACCTGGGTAAAGATGCTGTGTTAGAGCGTCTGGTACGTTTGTAAACGCCACTCGTTTTTGAACGATGATGTCCTGGAGTCCAATGAGTTGACCTATATTGTGATATTCGTTTAAAAACCGGTTCACATCAGTTTGATTCTTCCAGTGCACTAGTATTGAACAATATATCACAGAGGAACTGCAGCTTAG